GTACCTAGAGCCGGACTTGTGACCTTTCCTTGAGAGAGACGAGTGAACTCCCATTGACCTCGGTTTGTGTGCGTATACTCTAAAAGGTGAGGCTTGCTTAGGGAAAGTTGAGGATGTATGAGTTTGGGGATCCACAGCGACCAAAGTAATTGAGAGAGTTCTTTGATGTAATGAGTCAATTCTTGATGCTCTTGTGTCACACTTGATCCATAGTTTTCAAGGTTTGAATGTTGTTAATGATCCATTTGTGTTGAGGGCAATGGTTAGTCCCAATTGATGCTTGTTGAGGTTACTTTAAGATAGCTGGAATTACTTGGATTGTCCTTTAAGGGGTGGGTCTTATTTTGTTTGCTTGAGGACAAGCAAAGGTTTAAGTTTGGGGGAGTTGATAAGTCGGGATTTTAACATATTTTATGCCCCTACTTGCCTACGCTTTGGTTATAAATTGCTACAAAATAGTCCCAAAATTCTCACAAGTTATGCTTGATTGCAGGTTTGATCGACAAAGCGACAAATGTCAAAGAACGGCTCAAGAAGGAGTGAAACCTGCTCAAGTGCCAAAGACTAAGTAAATTGAGGAAAAGAGAACCTAGTGCGGACCGCGCAAAAGTGAATGCGGCCGCACTAGGAGGTTCAGAGAGTTGGCATTTTCAAGCTGGAGGCAACTCGGGCGCGGTACGACTCACGCGGTCAGCGGTCAGGCTCCGCGGCCGCGCTACTCTTTTGTGCGGTCCGCGGAGCAGAGATTCAGAGAGCTCACATTTTGATAATTCCAAGCAATGCGGCCCGCGCTAGTTTTAGTACGGCCATGCCAACTTCCACCGCGGCCGCGGTGCACTTTCACGCGGTCCGCGGTCCTCAAGTTCAGAGAAGCATAAATTGAAGTCCAAGAGCCAGTGCGGCCGCGGTAACCTTCGCGCGGCCCGCACTGACCCCGCAGGGGTATTTTTGTCCGGTTTTTCCAGCCTAGTATAAATAGGATATTTTACCATTTTTAGGTCAAGTTTGATATTCCAGACTGAGCTGCGCTCGTGAGAGTCACTTTTGTAGCCATTTTCGGCACTTTTGCTCTTCATTAACAAAAGATTATTGTAGTTTCTTCTTAGTAATCAATTAATATGCATAGTTCTTCATCTATTTCTTTAATTTCTGTATCTAGCATGAGTAGCTAAACCCATTAGCTAGGGTTGTGGCTCAACCCTGGTGTGGGTAATTGATGGGTGTTGCCATCTAGGGTTAGATTGATTATGGGTGTTTGTTATTTGGGTTGATTTTATGTTTTTATTTAAGAATTGGTGGTTGCAAACACTGATTCAAGCTTTGTGGGTTTGACTCTTCTTGAGAAAGAGAGTTTATGACCCGAAAATTGACCCAACAAGGAATCGGGATGGACTCATGAGAAATGATAGTCCCAATTAACGGGTTAAATCTCGAGAGAATAATCACCCTACTTGAACCCTAGTTGCTTGATCTAATTGGCCTGCCCAATTGGTCTCGAGAGAGTCAATCGGGCAAAATCACTATCTCTACCGAGAGGCGTGAGAGTGGGTACAATTGTGCGACGGTTATAGCATAAACCCCAAATATGTCAATCTCTCCTTAGTAACATCTACCCGTCAATTAGTCACCTAGGTAATGCCACGACCCTAGTGCCTTCCTTCCCATTAGTTACAACTTTGCAATATTCTAGTAGCATAAATTAGCATTAATCATTAGTTTTATCATAGTAGTTATAAAATCAAAAACCAAGAATGTTTGAAGCTATATTAGGAGCACAAACACATCTCTAGACTAGACAGAAAATCCAACTCCACTACTAGCTCCCTGTGGAAATCGATCCCGACCACTATTCGGGTAAAAGCTATTGCGACCCGCTCTTCCTACCTTGGTGTAGTGTCGAGTTGGCAGCGATCACCCGGCAAGGGAGATAATCATTAAAAGCAACAACATCCCGGCAAGGTAGACAATATCATAATCCTCTTTTCTTTTTCACATTTACTTCACAAATCATTTCACAACTTGAGCCAACGCTCTTCAATGGTCAATTGCCAACAATAATTCCACAAATCATTTTACAACTTGAGCAACGCTCTTCAATGTTCAATTACCAAAATTACTTCCACATGCCTTGTTCAACAATAGAAATATCACATAAGGCATGAACAATACAAAACGGAGTCATATTAATCATAGCATAACACTCACGGGCATGCTTGACACCAACATATAGATACTCGTCACCATGCCTATACGTCGTACTCAACAATTAACACGTAGCAAATAGGACACAACTCCTAATCCCTCAAGCTAAGGTTTGACCAAACACTTACCTCGATGCCACGAACACAATTCAAGCCTCAACTACCGCTTTACCTCTTAATTTCACCACCAATTCGCTTGTATCTAGCCACAAGTTACTTAACCATATCAATAAATGCTAAATGAATCAATTCTAATGCATGAAAATAAGTTTTCTAAAGTTTTTCCCAAAAAGTCAAAAATCGACCCCGGGCCCACGTGATCAAAACCCGAGGTTCGAATCAAAACCCGATTACCCATTCACCCACGAACTCAAATATATGATTTGTTTTGAAATCGGACCTCAAATCGAGGTCCAAATCCCCAAAATTCAAAAATTCTAAGTTCTACCCAAAACACACAATTTCCCCCATGAAAACCCTTGATTTTGAGTTGAAATCATGTAAGAAGATGGATTAGATTGAAAGAAAATTAGTTAGAAATGACTTACAATTGATTTGGAAGAGTAGTTGTCTCTGAAAAATCGCCCAAAGGTGTTTAGGTTTTGAGAAGGTTTGAAAAAATGGCTGAAAATGCGTCTAAGTGTCAATTAACTGGTCTCTAATGTCGCAATTGCGACCAGGGTTCGCAATTGCGAACCCCTCAGAAACTGTTCACTTCGTAAATGCGAAGCTTTTGTCACATTTGCGACCAAGTACAATTCTAGTCACCCTCGCATTTGCGAGGGACCCTTCGCAAATGCGACATCGCATTTGCGATATAAACGTCGCATTTGCGACCAAGGCAGCCCAGGTTGACTTTCGCATTTGCGATACTTGTTCGCATTTGCGAAGCCTGCAGACCTGCAACATACTAGCAATTTCCTATGTTCAAATTTCACTCCGTGGCCTATCCGAAACTCACCCGAGCCCTCGGGGATACAAACCAAACATGCACGCAAGTCTAAAAACATCATACGGACTTGCTCGTGCGATCAAATCATCAAAATAACATCAATAACTATGAATTTAGCATCAAAATCAAAGAAAAATCTCATGAACTCTTAAGTTTAAATCTTAACAACCGAAGGTCCGATTCATGTCATTTCAAGTCCGTTTTTTACCAAATTTTACAGGCTCGACTTAAATACCATATAAGACCTGTACCGGGCTCCGGGACCAAAATACGGGCCCGATACCATCGAATTCAATTACATTCAAATTTCCAAAAACTCTAATAATTTCAGTTAAACAATTTTCTTCAAAAATTCATTTCTCGGGCTAGGGACCTCGGAATTCGATTTCGGGCATACACCCAAGTCCCATATTTTCCTACGGACTCTCCGGGACCATCAAAATACGGGTCCGGGTCCGTTTACCCAAAATATTGACCGAAATCAACCTAAATTCATTTTAAAAGCAAAACTCAGCATTTTTCACAGATTTTCACATAATGGCTTTCCGGATACACGCCCGGACTTTGCACGCAAATCGAGGTGAGACCAAAGGAGGTTTAAAGGCCTCGGAACACAGAATTTATTTTCAAAACAAGTGATGACCTTTTGGGTCATCACATCAACGGTGGCCCCAAATATGGGTATATATGCAAATGCCCCTAGCTAGTCGAGCGGTATTCTTAGGGTTGTTCATAAAAATCCGAAAAATAGAACCAAACCGACCAAAAGAACCGATACTTTTTGGTTTGGTTTGGTTTTGGGTTTGAATTTTAAAAACCGGTGAAATTTAGTTTGGTTTTGGTTTTAGTCAGAAAAAATCGAACCAAAGTGGCTATAGGAGTAGCTATTTCATATTTATTATTACACCTATATATATGTATATTTTTATATAAAGTTTCAAAAATTTAATGGTAAATGTTAATAGTTTGCACTTTTAGTATAGTTCTTTACCTTTACATTCTAGTTTGATTGGTAGTTTTCTTTTGTCAAGTGTAAGAATCCATTTCGTGTTAAAAATAATATATTTTTAATTGAGTCCTTAAATTATTCATCACTATTTGATTCAATTATCATCAATATATCTTGGTAAATAATAGAATTCTCAAAGGGCAATTGATTTGATAGTGTTACGTTGAAAATGTGGTCTCTGGAATATGTGTTTGGTAGTGTATGTCTTATATTTAAGAAAAAAACAACAAATAACCGAAAAAACCGAAAAACCGGCATAAACCGAATCGAGAAAAAACTGACTTAATTGGTTTGGTTTGATTCTAATATTTGAAAAACCGACTTACTTGGTTTGGTTTCTTTTTAGAGAAAAACCGATCCAAACCGAACCATGAACACCTCTATATTCTTAACATCAACCCAATCGTAAGAAAAAATTCTTGCAACTACGAATTCTATAACTACTTCCATGAACAGACTGCTTTGTCAATTAATATTTTATATAAGTTCAATTCAATAATTCAGAAAAATGTTTAAAAAGGCTGAAGAAGCATTCATCCAAAAAGGTACGGTAAAATAACTTCGTCCCAGGAAAATAAATCCAACCCTTCAAACTCGAAAAATGGTCAGACTATAACAACTATTTATATATATATATATATATATATATATATATATATATATATATATATATAATCAAAAAGATCGCCCGATAGATCCTTATACTAATAATGATGAGGTAGGAGTTTATTATTATTCATACGTGTTGCACTCGTCACCTGCGATCTCTTGAACATATACTATGATGTTCACCATATATGACAGCGTAAATAAAAAAAATGTGCTCGTAATGAAGCTTCTAAGTAATAAAGGAGCCAGAAATCCAAGGTGGTAATAACTTGTCTTCCTTCTCATAATACGATAAGAGCTTGTCTCTTAATATTTGAACTTTAATTGGTAAAGTTCCTTGTGCCTGTTCAATACAATAAAATAAATTAACATCAACAAAGTTGGCGCAATATATTAATAGTAATATAGATATTCTGAAGTGCACAATTTTCATAAGCAAATATTTCTATAATAATATATCTTTGAACCTCAAAAACCTTATAGATGGAGAAAAGAAAGAGAGTGAAATTTATATAAATACCTGAAAATGCAAATTGTAGAAAACTCTATCTCCCAAAGTTTCAAAAGAAGATGAATTTAGTAGAAGAAGTCCTTCCTCCTCTAATTCTGATACAGCTTCAGCAAACGAACTCTTATTGGTCTTCAAAATAGATATATGAATAATGACTTCTCCATTTCCCACTTGATTTGCAGAGATAACTGATAAAGAACTCTGAATTCCTCCTTTAATTATTGTTTGCTTATTAAAATCAGCAGAATATTCTTTCTTAGGGATGGATCTTAATGTGAGATCTTCTTTCTTCTGTGTCAGTCTTTCCACTTCTTTCTTTAAATCTGGTATGTACTTTATCACTCTTGCTACTGTGACTGGAAAGCTTATTTTTTTCTGTTAAAATGTAACAATTGAAACTTTAAGTGTAAGTATAACTGTGTTCATAAACAGAAAAACAGAATTTAGAACAGAAAATGCAAAAATATATTCCGAGCTTGTGTGTCCCTAAGGAATTTAATTCCCTCATTGTTGACCGAGATTTGTTAGGATCGAAAATAATCAGGTGTCATGCGGAAGCTAGCAAAGCAAACCTTGAATGACGATAAATCATACAACAAAGAGAAATATACCAAAAGAGACACAAACATTTAACGTGGTTTGGTCAACTGACCTACGTCCACGGCGGAGATGAGCAATCCACTATACAAAAAGAGAGTACAAAATATCGAGAGAACAACCTCACGAAGAGGCAAACACAAGTGACACACTAACACTTGTCACGTAAAGTTCTCCCCTTAAACACGACTCTCAAGCCCCATATGGCTACATTATGGATGCTAATGAATGAGAAGGAAGGATGCTCAATTTATAGAAGTCCAAACCTTTTCCTACAAGAAAAAGGACTAGCCAAATCTAGGAGATTTGTAATTTCCTTCTACAAGAAGGAAAACCCAATTAAGGTAAACATTATGGATGCTAATGAATGAGAAGGAAGGATGCTCAATTTATAGAAGTCCAAACCTTTTCCTACAAGAAAAAGGACTAGCCAAATCTAGGAGATTTGTAATTTCCTTCTACAAGAAGGAAAACCCAATTAAGGTAAACATGTTGCCCTTTCCTTCAACAAATAGGAAAACCAAATATGGTAAGAAAATTATGGCAAACACCTAACAAGATTATGGATTAATTAATTCCTCCCAAGATAGAACGAAAGAATTATACTATAATAGCAACACTTCAAATTACAGAACTGTGAATACAAATGGCAGAGCAAACAAGTAGCTAAGCTATGTAAAAAATTTCTTCCTTTTTTTCCTTTACCACAAGGGAGTACGGTGGGAAATGACAATAACAACAATATACTCAGTATATTTCCATAAGTAAGATTTAGAAGGGCGTATCTAGGTTAAGGAGTATGGGTTCACGTGAACTCATGCTCCTCTCCTTAAACTATATATAACAATGTTATATTTCTTAAAATTACTTAAATATATGTATGTGCACCCGTGCTTAAATCCTTTGCTGCAATAATTATCGGGTGCAGTTCATATCCTATTTCGGACGGTTTTATTTTTTGTGGTGAACATTTCCCCTATAATGGTCCTATGAGGCACGAATTTGGATTAATCGCGTTAGTGAATTCTGAATACTAGATGGTTATATAAGAAAACTACGGCTACTATTCGTTTCCATGATCACATTATTATTTTGCTAAGAAGATAATATCAATCTCGTAAATTTGTATTGTTTGCGAAGTTCACAAAGTATTTTGATCAATTTATTATTTTACTACCTAAAGAAAAATGTAAAAAAGAATCAGAAGAAGGTAAGAATTATGAATAAAAGAAAGAAAGAAAGAAAGAAAGAAAGAATTATACCGTATGATCAGTAGGTGGAAGCAAAGAACGAAGAGAAGAACACAAGCTATTAAATTTTTTTCTCCGATCACGTTCACTTGCATTGTGATTAAGCTTCTTCAGTGTTCCATCTAAATGATCATTATCACCATTAATCTCATCAGAATTCTTGAATTGTCTGTGTACGATGTTTGGCTGAGATGAAGAATAATGAACAGGAATACCTGTTGAAACTGGAGCTTCTATAGTGTTTAGTTTGTTGTTTTTGGGATCTGCCAAACACACGCCAAAGTTACAAAACAAAGGAGAAGAAAAGGCCATCATTACAGTTGGAATGTGTTGTGACAATCATAGAACGTGTATTTATAAGAGGAGTCTAGGATTAAACTTATACTAAATGTTAACTTTTATGAAACCAGCTGTAATTATGTAAAACTCTCATTTTAAAGCTGTGCGAGTCTAGCTCAAAGCGAATAATATCACTAGTGGACTGAGATGTTACATACATACATGTTAGTAGTAATTAAAAATACATAGTGTAAAAGTTAACATTTAGTATAAAATACGTCACTAGAATCTAGGGTTTGTTTACTTATATACCCAACATCTCTCCTTTATTTTGTCGATGTGGGATTTGCCTAAGGCATGGTTGGTTGGTTTAACATGTATGTACTTATCATAGATTACTAATCTCACTTTTTACGAACCATGTAGCTACTACTATCATTTAAGTGATTTTTAAATTTTATTTGCCATGGTATTGTATAGAGGATTTTACCCTGAACTTTTAATCTATAAAGACTCTCTTTCATGAAGGAAGGAAAAAAGACTCTTAAGGAATAAATCTCATTCATATGCCTTATCATTTTCTTAGAGGAAATTAAAAGTCTTCGATATCTATAAATTGAGTATCTCTGCACAACAACAACAACAACCTTCACAATGTAGCCTTTTAGAGAGTTTTATTTAGGAGAGACTATTCTCTCAATAATTTTTATATTTTTTTATAGTAGTTTAATTTTATATGTAGGTCAATTGACCAAACCCTATTATAGTATCCTATTTTAGTATATTTTCTTTCTTGTCTAATTTATCGTCCACTAATCTCTATTTTCTTAGCTTCCGCATGCACCATGTTATTTCGATCCAACATTATATTAATGAGCTTGCCCAGGTATATGTATAGGGTCGAGTTTGACCAACCCCGTCCTCAAAATGGACATGACCTGTCGTATGGACAAAGGTCGGGCCCAAGGGACGACCATGTAATCACGTCGGCCCCTCTGTAACATGCACTTTATCTTTAGTTTATATATTTTATCTTTATATCGTAAATAGGAAAAAAGGGAAAATCCCTCCGCTATATAAGGGGGGTTCCCAACTGTGTAAAAGGGGGGATATTTGCTCAATAACATTTCTACTTACTCTCTCTATCTCTCTGTCTCAATTTCTATCCCTCTCTTTCTCTGAAAAACGGAGACCTCGGATCTTTGTAACATTATCACGCAACTTGTCCTTTAACTGCTCCGACTCACCAAACCACAAAGGATTACTCATACTCTAGTGTCGATTATCTTTGATTACGATTTACCTCTTCTCCATACATTTGATCGATTTGTTTAAACATTGTTCGTTAAACTTTTAAGCCAAACAATTTGGCGCCGTCTGTTAGGATTTCGATAATCAAAGTCATAGTTCACATCTAGAGTATCAGAAACAACGATCATTATCCCCCAAACTCAGCAGAACCAGAAATGGCAGACAGAGAATCTAAGCTAAAGATGATAGTCGATGTCTCAACCAACCTGATGGGTCCCCTCAACGTGGCCAGTAGAGAAGATGTTTCAAACGCAACACCGAGCAGTCTTCCGGAGGAAAATATATCGCCCTCCTCCCTCGAAGATCTAACGATCTTGCATGAGAAGGGGACTTCGACACCCGCAGTAAAGGAAGCACCCCCAGTAGTCAAAAAATTACTGGAGGAGTGGCTGACAAACACCCTGAGCGGCCTGCTCAAGAAACCGTCTCCGGGAAACCCCAGCGATTCGCCAACAGCAGCGAGTACCGCAGCCGCCGGCGAACCAGGTGCTATGCGGACGAGCAACGCTCATACAGACATCATCGTAAGCAACGATACGCTCGCAACCATCCTAAGAAAAATGGAAGAAATGGAGAATGAGAATAAGGCACTCCGTGACCAAATGAAAGAGCACCAGGAAAGGGTAGACAAAATACCCGGTGCACCAAAATTACTGCCGAAACGCGACATAGGACGTTTCGTCGAGCAACCGTACAGCGAGGAAGCCGCCCCTCATCCGATCCTAAAAACCTTCAAGATGCCCCCATATTTGAGAATATATGATGGGACCACGGACCCAGAAGATCATCTGATCCAATACGTAACCGCTGTGAAAGGAAATGACTTGTCAAAGGAGCAGGTGTCGTCCGTGCTGCTGAAAAAGTTCGGAGAAACCCTGACCGGAGGGGCACTAACATGGTATTCGCAACTGCCGGCTAGGTCGATATCAACATTCGAGGAGATGGCGGACAAATTCGCTACCGTCCATGCGGGAGCAAAGAAGGCCGAAGCAAGGGTTAACGACATATTTGCGATCTGGCAAACAACAGGCGAAGGGCTCAGGGACTTCCTGGCACGATTTTACAGAGTAAGAATGAGCCTGCCTAATGTATCGGAGGGAATGGCAGTTGCCGCCTTCCAAAACGGTTTGAGCAGGGACGGATCGAAAGCAACCAAGAAACTACTCAGCCGACTCATAAAGTATCCCCACACAACGTGGGAGGAGATCCACAACGCCTACTGTGCTGAGGTAAGGGCAGACGAGGACGACCTTAACGGTCCGACCCAGCGGCTAACGTCAGTACAGACGGAACCAGGAGAGATCGACGCAACGACGGGCGACGGGACCCACTCCCACGGTTTAACAGAGAAAGGCATCAGCCTTACGTTAGAGCCCCTAACCCGCCTCCTCCGAGACACCAGGACGCCTTGCAACGACATATCGCTACGCTCCGGAATGAAAGAGGTATGCCTCCGTTATTATCCGCTCATAACTTTTGTGTCTCACCCTCAGAGATAGTATACGCACTAGAGAAGCTAGGCCCGAAGGTACACTGGCCGCAAAAATGAAATCAGATCCTAGTGCGAGAAAATCAAGCATCCTGTGCGAGTTCCACCAGGAACGGGGACACAGGGCCGAAGATTGCATAGGCCTACGACAAGAAGTAGTCAGGATGCTGAACCAGGGATACCTGAAGGAGCTGCTCGGCGACAAAGGGAGAGCCAACTTCGCCAGGGGACGCGACCAATCTCAAGGGCTGCCAAAATCGCCGTCCCCGACACGAACCATACAGATGATTGTCGACGGCGGTGATAATTCGACAATCAACCACGTCAAGTTCACCACCACGCACAAACTGAAGCGCACAATCGCTCACGAACGGTATGATGGCTTCGAAGACAGTATCACCTTCGATAAGTCTGATGCCGACGGTTTGTCTTTCCCTCACTATGATGCTTTAGTCATAACCTTACGCATTGCTGATACTGATGTAAAAAGAATTATGGTAGACGACGGAAGCGGCGCGTGTATTATCCATCCGAGAGTCCTCACGCAAATGAGGCTTGAGGATAAAGTAATACCGCGTTGCATAACACTAACGGGTTTTAACAATGCAGTAGAACGCACCTCCGGAGAGATATCACTGCCGGTCCTGGCGGGAGGAGTCACGTTGGACACCACGTTCCACATCATGAACCAGGAAACAGCTTACAACGTCATCATAGGACGTCCATGGATACACGTCATGCGAGCCGTCCCATCGAGCCTCTATCAGGTAATCAAGTTTCCCACCCCATGGGGAATATTCAGTATCCTAGGCGAGCCAACAACTGCCCAAGAATGCTACCGAATCGCCCAAGAATGCACCCACACCAAGCAACTGAAAGGGGCAAGTGCGGAAGCATAGCAATCAGCCATGTCGGGGACCAAATTTACCCCGACAACGGAAGGCATCAGGACCCTGATATCGTGGAAGCTTGCAAAGCGACAGTTGAGGACCTCGACCCTGTGACAGTTCAAAAAAAGCCTACATCAGGCATAACCTCTCCGACCCAGGTAAGTACCATGAATTCTTAACTAACCATGCAGGTCTGTTCGCCTTCTCCCATTCTGACATGCCAGGGATATCAAAAGACATCGCCACTCACAAACTCAACGTCGACCCACTCTATCCGCCCGTACGGCAGGTAAGGAGAAAGTTCAACGCCGCAATCAATGAGGCAGTCAGGGAAGAAGTAGATAAGCTACTAGCCAACGGGTCCATCAGAGAATCGAAGTACCCCCAGCGGGTCGCCAATGTGGTCATGGTCAAAAAGAAAAACGGGAAATGGAGGATGTGCGTGGATTTCAGAGACTTGAACAAGGCATGCCCAAAGGACTCCTTCCCATTACCTCACATCGATCAGCTGATAGACGCAACAGCCGGATACGAGCTGCTAAGCTATTTGGATGCCTATTCTGGTTACAACCAGGAAAAAACGACTTTTATCACCCACCAAGGGACTTACTGCTACAAGGTGATGCCCTTCAGGCTCAAAAACGCCGGCGCAACATACCAAAGGCTGGTCACCAAGATGTTTAAGGAACAGCTCGGCAAGACAATTGAGGTCTACATCGACGACATGCTAGTAAAGTCGGCTAAAAAGGAGGATCACATCGACCATTTAAAACAAGCCTTTGAGATACTAAGACGATACGGGATGAAGCTAAACCCGAAAAAATATGCTTTCGGCGTGTCTTCCGGAATGTTCCTGGGTTTTCTCGTATCCCAGCTAGGTATCGAAGTCAATCTAGACCAGATCAAGGCCATAGAGACGATACCAGAAACCCTGAATAGCAAGAAACAGGTGCAGAAACTAACTGGGCGAATAGCCGCTCTGTCAAGATTCATCTCGCGATCCTCAGACAGGTGCCACAAATTCTTTAATGTACTGAGGAAAGATCGAGGGTTACAATGGGACGAATCATTAAGGAAACTGAAGGAATATCTATCTTCACCGCCCTTGCTAGTCAAAGCAGATCCCGGCGAATGCCTGCTCGTCTATCTGGCGGTGTCAAAAGTCGCCGTCAGCGCCGTCCTAGTTCGCGAAAGCGAAGGTACGCAATCCTCGATTTACTATATCAGCAAAACTCTGATAGATGCCGAAACGAGGTATCCGCACCTCGAGAAGTTGGCTTTGGCATTAGTCGTAGCTTCACGAAAGCTTAGACCCTACTTTCAGTGCCACCCCATAAAGGTGA